GTTTGATGTCAATATTAAAAAATTTGATAGTAGTTGTACTAAAGTGAAGATGAGTTGACTGAGAAAGCTCAAATATTCTTCATGAAAAATTCAAATGATGCATTTAAAGAAAAAAAATAATTTTGGGCTTTATGAAGCTTAAGAAAAAGGTAATGTCTTATGAAATACTTTTTGATTCATGTGAGAAAAAAATACTTTTAAGTTGTTGAGCTAAAAAACAAGGTATAAAAGTCCAAAAGAAAAAAATATATATATTAAAAGCTTACAATTTTATTATGCTAGATTGAAAGTATGAAAACAACAAACTTTTTCTTGATTTTAGTGAGACTTAAGTAATGAATGAATCATAGTATTTTAAAGAAATAAATATTCTTCAAGATATAATTCTTGATTTCATTCAAATCTTGGAGAATTTTACTGGAGATATTGTTTATTTAAATATAATTTAAAACTTTTTTTGAAGATCCTTCAAATAAGTATAGTTTTGGATTTCACTCACAAGATAAAAATCTTCACTCTAAAAATTTATTTGTGAATTTATCTTATTCATTTTTTGAGAAATATGGACATAACATAGACTAATGCTATCATAGGAAGAAGAAACAAAGATCGAATATAGTTTTGTTTAATAACAAAAAAGGACAAAAAAAGACATATGTACCTAAATATGAAATTATCACCATTAAAGATTTCTAGAAAAATTTAAACAAGTAGTATTTCAAGAATAGATGCTCGCTTCACATGACAAGAATATAGTTTATCATTCTATACTCAAAACTACATGAAGAGTGAAAAGTCACTTTTGTCATATCATATATAATATTTTGTTTGACATAATTTAAATAATGTATTTTATGTCAAAAGATTAAAATATAATTTAGTGAACATAAGTCAATTTTGTGATAGTAGATATAATGTTTAGTTTGACAAAGGAAAATGTATAACTAGAAAACATGATGAATCCATGATCTTTACTTTACATATATACCATTTTTATACAAAATAGATTTAAAAGAGCTAGATAAATAAAATATAACATGTTTGTTTTCCAAAAATAATGAAAAATGGCTCTAGCATAATAAACTTAGTAACGTTAGACTGAGACATTTTATAGTTTTAGAAAAATCTTGTAAGAAGATTTACTGAAATACCAATTCAAAAGTAATAAGAAATATGAAACCTATCAACAAGGCAAACAAACTAAAAACTTTTTTAAAAGTAAAAATTGTTTCCATGGCCATACTAATTAAGTTTCTTCATAGAAATTTCTTTACTCTCACTAGAACTTGTGAAAAAAAAAATATGGATTAGTTATACTAATGAGTATTCTAGATATACATAGGTTCACTTCCTTATTCATAAGTATGTCTTATGATGTTTTCTAGATCTTTTGTAAAAATGTCTAGAATGTACAAAATAATTTTGTACAAATAGTGATAAGTCTATATTTTAGGATATTTTTATATGTTATTTTATATGCTTAACCTTTATTTGATGAGGATTTAATAATAATTTATTCATTAATTATGAAGATTATCACAAATTAATCACCAGTGAATTAAAGAAGCATTTTTAGCTACAATTGAATAAATTTGATAGAAAGCAAGATCACGCACAACAGAAAACACAACTTTGCTTAACAGCTAATTTGGGAATGTTTTGTAACCATGCACAATCGTGGTGAAGGATATCATGGTGGTGCTTTGCTTTTCGTACAACAAACTTTGAGATTTTTAAGATACCTGTGAAAAGATAATTTAAACTTTAAATTTGACAACAAAAAATCATATCTTTCTCTCTTGATACGTCATATCTTTGTTACAAATAAAACATATCTCTTGGAGGTAAACATCATCATCTTTTATGGATTCTATGCTTTATATAAAGAGTCTTACACAACTTTTCTCTTAAACACCTTTTCTCTTGGAAACCTTTTGACTTAGACACTTTTACCTAACTAACTTGTCACAACTTTGGGAGTTGTTTGAGAGTGAAAATCATTGGTAAAAATGAAAGATATTTTCCTTGAGTCTGAGTAAATAATTAAAAGCATGTTTTGGAGATGAAAACTTTTTGTATCTTTTTTCCCTTAAGATTCTTTTAGTTTGCGTTTTCATTTTTAATGACTATGAGTTTTTTTATAATTATTTTTGTTGTTTATTTCATTATGAGTAACTTAATTCATAACTAGAGTTATGGTGAATCCTTTACACGCTTTATGTGATCTTTACGTTTAATGACAATTATAATTTTATTTTCTTAATTGGTTTTTATCCTAGTGAGTTTATATTATATGTTAAAAATTGACCATTCTTAACATATCATAATTAATTACATTAGATATGATTGTACCATATGTAGTTAATAAATTTATAAGATAAAATGAGACAAAGAATTAAGTAGATCAAATTTATTTTTTCTTTTTCAATCATTATTAATTTGTATGTGTATGTATAACAGAGAAAGAGAGAGAGAGAGAGAGAGTTAGGGTACATTGATATTAGATACACTTACATTACTTAATAATTTTTCATAAAATGTGAGATTAATTTTACCATTAAATTATTTTATATTATCTTCAGGACTATGTATATCAAATTTCACATAATTTGACATTGGTAAGTATATTATCTAAAATTTGATATTTGTTATATATTTTAAAAATATTATAAATTGTAATAAAACAATAAAGGTGAATTATTATTATTATTATTATTGCTTAAATATATGATTGATCTCTATAAAAATAACACATTTTACTATAAGTTCTTATAAATTATTTTGTTAGAATTTAGTCCTTGAAATATTAAGAAGTTAGGATTTAATCTCTACCATCAACTCTCTCCTATTAAGTGTTGAGCTAACTTAGCACCTCACATGGCATGTCATGTTATTTAATTTTTTTAATATTTTATTATTTAAATTTAATATTTATAAATGTCTTTAAATATATTTTAAATATTTATAAATTACTCTCTTCCCCTTCCTCTATTTAAATATTTAAATGATGTTTACATCTCACAACTTTTTGCAACCACCAACAAAAAATCTAATTCTTACTAATTTTCCCACTCTAAACTTCATGTTGGAATTGGCGATGTGGGTGGAGTAAGAGAGTGTGGGAGAAGGAAGGGATTGGAGTTAGAGTGAGATAATGGAAAATAGAAAAAAGAAAAAAAAAGTAATTTATTTGTAAATATTTTAAACATATTTAAAATTTTATTTATAAATATTAATTTTAAATAATAAATTATTAAAAAATTAAATAACATAACACGTAAAGATATTAAGTTGTCTGACTATCAGTCAACTTAATATTTAACATAAAAGATTTGACAGCTAAAATTAAATTCTAATAAAATATTTTATAAAAATTTATTATAAAATATGCTATATTTATAAGATGAATCATATATTTAAACTATTTTTTATATAAATTTTATAAAATTAATATATCTAATTTGATTAATATATATATATATATATATATATATTGCAATAAAGTTTTAAATTGGGTAACCACAAAACTCATGTTATATATTAACAGCATGGTGTTTACTTCAATTTTAAGAAATTTTTTCTCTTTTTAAAACAAAAAATATATTTTATAAAAAATATTCTTTTTAAAAATAGAAAAAATGTTTTTTTTTAATCTTAGTTTTAAATTATTATATTATAAATTTATGTTTTTATTTATTCATTAATAAGATTATGTAATTTTAAAATTATTTTTTTAATAGGTATTTAAGGATATACAGTAAAAAATAATAAATGATATTTTTATTAAAAATATAGTATTTAATATTATCAATACATTATATACTGTGAATTTTAACAAAAATTGTTACATATATAAATTTTTGTTATATGTTTATAGGCACATATTATGAAATTTATTTAAAAAAAATAAAAATTAATCGTGTAAGAGATTTTATTATTCATTTAATGTTTACAAGAAAAGTGATATAGTATTTTCTTTTATATATATATAGAATGTCTTAGAAATTTATTTATTTAGTCCCTGTAATTTAGAAAAAGAAAAAAAAAACATTTTTACATTGACACGTACGCACATCTAACATCTTACGTCTGCTTACATCGGATGGACCTCAGTAGCTTATGTTTGGGCCGTTTTTAATTGCTCTTAAAAAAAATATTATGACTTCATGTAGTATGGTAATTTAGTTCATTTTTAAATATTAATTTCTAAATTTTCAAATTATAAAAAATATATTTTAAAAACAAACGAATTTAAATATACTGTTAATATGTACTATTATTATTATTATTATTATTATTATTATTATTATTATTATTATTATCTTACTTAAGTATATATTTTAAATATTGTAATAAAATTGTTAAAATATTCAACAGCAAAAATTTCCTAATCCAGTGTGTATACACAATAATAATATTCTTACACTTACCTCTCTACACGGTTTATTTACACTATTTTGTTATCGCATTATCGATTATTTTTCTAATATTTAGAAAACAAAATTAGCTCCTCCTCCTATTTCAATTTACATCGCATTCGAAATATCATACGGACGTAAATGAGTAAGAATTTGTGCATAGATTACGTATGAAACATGCTTTTGTACGGGAGAGGCACGTGGTGAAAATTTATCTGAAGGAAGGAATATTAATAATATATTTTTTAACAAAGTTTTTATTATTAATTAAAATTTATTAAAAACAAAAAATATAATAAAAATATAATTTAAAAATAAAAAATGAAATATATATTTTTTATAATTTATAATTAATTTTAACCAACAATAAATTTTAAAAAAAAATATGTTAAAAAGTTTATTCTTCTTTAAAAGAAAATAGTTTTGGTTTTATATATGTGGCTCGACATCTACCACCGATTAACCAGCCTACCACAATCCACGTGTCTACTCATCTGTCCGTTCCTCAAACCTACTCGCACCCCCCAAACTTGCTGGGCTATACATCACAGAACAATATATTTAATAGCGACTTCGCCCGTTCCCTTGAAATCATAAAAGCAAAATCTGAGTTATTTTCCCTTCCATAAACTCTTCCTCCTCCCACCTCAGCAAATCTTTCCATTCCTCTCTTGGCACACAGCATTACCCACTCCTAATAACTACTTTGTCTCCTATAACCATTCCTTCACTTAACCCCAAGTAAATGGTGACCGTGGAGGAAATCCGCAACGCCCAGCGGTCCCATGGCCCCGCCACCATCTTGGCCTTTGGCACCGCCACACCCTCCAACTGCGTATCCCAAGAGGATTACCCAGACTACTATTTCCGCATAACCAAAAGCGAACACATGACCGACCTCAAAGAAAAGTTCAAGCGCATGTGTACGTGCTGATAATAACTCTCACACTCACTCGTAACTATAACCGTTTTGTTTGTTAGATAGTGTTACACGACTCACGAAAAAGCTAAACTGAATTTAAATCTTGCAGGTGAAAAGTCAATGATAAAGAAGAGATACATGCACCTGACGGAGGAGTTTCTCAAGGAGAACCCGAACATGTGCGCGTACATGGCACCGTCTCTGGACGCGCGTCAGGACATAGTCGTGGTGGAGGTGCCGAAGCTCGGAAAAGAAGCAGCTGCTAAGGCGATAAAAGAATGGGGTCAACCAAAGTCAAAGATCACGCACCTCGTGTTCTGCACCACTTCAGGGGTCGACATGCCAGGCGCAGATTACCAACTAACAAAGCTTCTTGGTCTCAGGCCTTCCGTAAAGCGCTTGATGATGTACCAGCAAGGTTGCTTCGCTGGCGGCACCGTGCTCCGTCTCGCCAAAGATCTCGCCGAGAACAACAAAGGCGCTAGGGTTCTCGTCGTGTGCTCCGAAATCACAGCCGTCACGTTCCGCGGCCCCTCCGACACTCACCTCGACTCGCTCGTCGGTCAGGCTCTCTTCGGCGACGGAGCCGCAGCGGTTATTGTCGGCGCCGATCCGGACCTCGCCGTGGAGCGGCCGATTTTTGAGTTAGTGTCGGCGGCGCAGACTCTTCTGCCGGATTCCGACGGTGCAATCGACGGTCACCTCCGGGAGGTAGGGCTGACGTTCCATCTACTGAAGGACGTTCCTGGAATAATCTCGAAGAACATTGAGAAGAGTTTGGTGGAAGCCTTTACGCCGATTGGAATCAGTGATTGGAACTCGATTTTCTGGGTGGCGCATCCCGGCGGACCGGCGATTCTGGACCAGGTGGAGGCGAAGCTGCGGCTGAAGGAGGAGAAGCTCCGGTGCACGCGTCACGTGCTAAGCGAGTACGGAAACATGTCAAGCGCATGCGTTTTGTTTATATTGGATGAGGTGAGGAAGAGGTCTAAGGAGGAAGGGAAAGGAACCAGTGGTGATGGGTTTGAGTGGGGTGTGTTATTCGGGTTCGGACCCGGTTTAACCGTTGAGACCGTTGTGCTCCATAGTGTTCCCTTGGAGGGTTGATGAAGTTTGGCGGTGGGGCCCATTATGGGGAAAGTACTAATTATAAATTAATAAGGGAACCTCACGCAAATGGAGGGAAAAGTGTGATATTTAGTTTTAATTTAGAGTTTGTCGTGCTATAATTGATGGATAAGAATTACTCAGTATGCACGATCGTGTTTGCAAGTGATTTGTTTGTGAATTTGTTACTTCCATGTTCTGGCATTGGATATTTTCATTCAATAAGTTTAGTAACAGACTTTATAAAATTATATTTGCTATTGGTTTATTTTGTAAATTGGGTAATATTTTATTTTATAGCATTCGATTGCTATAAAATAGTTTAATATTATCTTCGTAATAAATTTGGTAATAATTTATAATTTTAATAAAAATGTTATATTAAAGTTTTCTTATATATTTTTAAACACACATTAAAAAACTGTTAAATTATACATTTTGTCTTCAATATTTAAATAAAATTTTAATTTGTTTGCTAATTATTTTAACTTAATTTAATTAATTAATTTTAATTTAAGTGGCATTTATTTTTTATTTGTTTATTATTCATTTAATCCTGTGAATTCTTTTGTCAAAATTTTATTTTAACTTTATTGCATCTTTCAATTTTTATTAATTCAAGAATATTTTAGTGTTTAACGTAGATTAGCAGTTTATAATGAAGATAATTAACGATAAAAATTAAAAATATATAAAATTTTATTAACAACGATGAGTTAACAATGAGTATTAAATATTTATAATTAAAAAAGAAGCATAAATGAGTAGTTGATCAATCATTATTTATAGATAAATAAAAAAAGTTTTAAGTAATAATTTGAAAGTTTTCAACGACAATATAAAAGTAAAATATGTAAAAATGTAAATTTTAAGGAAAAAAAACATATTTAAAATGTTGTCATTTTACAAAATTTATTTAAATTAAAAGTTAAATTTTTTTTACCTTAAAATAATAATTTAAAAAAATAAATTAAATAAAAAATTAAAATTAAAATAATTATTAATTAAATGAATGAATATATTCACTTTAAATGAATAAAAAATAATATTCTTTAATGATAAAATAGAAAATTTTTATGAATTATATAAAGATATTAATTTAAGCCTTGAAAAAAAAATTATTTAAAAGATTATAGATTTTGTTATTATTTTTAAAATCTACTCTTATAATTAAATTTTTAAAGAAAATTGTGCGTCTAAATATATAGAACAAAAATTAAACAAATTATGAAGAATAAATAGTATCTTCAAGGTGTTTACACCTTAATTATTGTCATAGGGTTCTAAACTTTAAGGTTAGAATCACATTTTTTCTTAGAAATATTTTCTATTTGTACAAAATTTAAGAAAAGAAAAGTTGCATTTATATTACTAATAAAATTATAAGAGTCAAAATCAAAAGAGTCTTTAATATAATTAAATAATTCAAAAACAACTTACTCATCGTTCAATTTTAAAGTAAATTTTTTTTGTTAGATATTGTAACATATTTAAATTCTTATTTAAAGATAAGTAAATATTTATAGCACCAAAAAAGAATTATATTGTGTTTTATAAATTTAAAAGTTAAATAAAAATTAAACTTATATTTCGTTTAAGAAATTTTATAAAGTTCAAAAGTATTTAAAATTTTCAAATGAATAGTTTCAAGATTTTAAAGTAATAAATAAAATTGAGTTACATTTAACAATTATTTGGTTTGTATCGCATACATGTAAGTTTAAAATACTATTAAGAATATTTCTGAATTATTCATTACAATAAAATTTCTCAAGGTATTATAAATTCTAAAATCTGACATTTAAAATTATTTAAAGAACTTAGTCAACATAAAATGTAATTAGAATAAAGTACTATAATTTCTTAAATTATTCTAATTCTTATAGAGCAGTCTTCCTTCTAATATCAGTGGACTATGATCTTAGAATGGATCAATTATCTTTATTCCTTTCTCATTTGCCTTCCTGAAAATAGTTAGTAAGGGTGAGTATTTCCTAACAATAGTCATAACAACATCAACCAATATGTTATAATGCATATATTATAATCATACAATTTTTATACTACTTTATATTCATCACACTTTCACATTTATTACACTTTCATATTTGTTACACTTCCATATTCATTACTCTTGGGATCTATTGAGGACTTCATAGTATAGATAGCTGCTGGTTAGCCGCAGCAACACGGATACACATGTACTGACCTGACCCTTTTAGCAAAGGTATAGTCAGGGATTTAGGCCAAGAAATTAATGTGAGGTCTGTGGTGTCTTTTTTTTTTTTATCTAATTTTGTTAATTTTTCGCAATCATGGAAAAGTATCCACCACCCTCATTTCCCTCATATTTTCACAATCGCCCTTATCTTCCACACCCCAGTGTATTTTTGTGACTATCTATACTTATTCTCAACATTTCTCATATCATTCTCTTTCTTTTCCATATCATTTTCATAAATCAATGTGTCATAATACGTGAGTTTTGATCATATAACTTAATGTATTACAATATATGTATTATGAATACACCTTTTGATGTATTACAATACTTGTACCATAATCACATCCATCAATCTATTTTATCTCACATATTATAATCACATCCCTCACAAATTCACCATCATGTCATATCATTCCATTTTATAAATAAAACTCTTTCTTTATTTAAGAACAGTCAAACACTTTTTATCAATAGCATAATTTCACCCATTTTGACATACCTTGGCTATCAAACAATATTTATATTTATTATATAATTTAACTCATAAATATCATCAAACTATTTCACACCACACAAGCCAATACAATGTGTTGAAGGTCAGAGTCTTTCGAACTCAGTCTAATCGTACAATCCAACATACACATTTTTTCAGTAATAACAAAGTCGTATATCCTAAAGTCTAGTATCACCCAATATTCACTGTAAATCTATTATTTCAAAAATGTGAAATAGTAATCTTAACTATCTTCGCACAATGTTCACTAGTAAAATCCTAATATTCCTAAAAAATAGTTTTGTTTAGAGTTTTTACTACAATTTATATTTATATAGTTCTAAAAATAATCAAAGGTTTTTCATGTCTAACTCTCTTTTCCTACACTTTACATTTTAAGAAAATATTAGGGTTCTAGTAAGAAAATTTAGTGTTTTTAAATCAAAATACCAAAGAAAGGTTAGGGTTTGTGATCTACTCCCCTTACTTGAAAATGAGTCTCTCAGATCGAGTTTTTTTAGAGATCCAAAGGAGAGGCACAATGTTCTAAGAGAGGATAAGGTTTCCTTGAGTATTACAAGCATACAACTTTAGATCGGATAAAACTGAGAAATAAGAATGAATTTAGGGAATCAAGCTCTAAGAAACTTATTTGGATTTGAATGGTTGAACTTCCATGTCCGAATTCGAAGGGAGATTGAAGTTTAGAGGAGGATTTCTGATAAGAGAGAGTGAGAGATTAGAGAGAACAGAAGAGAGGTTGAACTTTGGATTGTAATCCAAATTTTCTAGGTTGAAGACCTTTAAATACCATTTAACTTGAGATATTCTCGCTACAACGAGCCTTTCTCTTGCTACAGTGAAAAAATTATACAAAATTCTCTGTTATTGTCTGTCATTCTAGCTACAACGAGAGCTCCTCACTACAACGAAAAAATTCCGGCTACAGCGAGAGAGCATCAGAAAGCCTAATTCTGAACGCTCTTTCTCGCTACAGCGAGATACCCTGCACCAAAATTCCTATTTTTCCTTACAATGGCAGCAAAATTTAGGGTGTTACAAATATGGCCCTTACTGTGGCTAGGAAAAATCTACTTATGATGATGAGAACCTCTTATCCTTTTCCATGTCAAGTACCACAAAATCAGCAAGAAATATTGTAACATCCTAATTTTCATTTGCATTTTTCTTATTTTCAAAATGGAAGATTTTTTTTTTTTTAAAAAATATTTCTTTTAGCTTAGAAGAATATTCCTTTTAGATTAAGCGAAAATTTCGCTCATGCAAAAATGGATCAAATTTTCTCATCTATACTCTTCCTCAAGCGAGAAATTTGTCGCTCAAGTGAAAATTTGCAACATAAATGGGCAGCTTTTTGCCATGTTTTCACTCAAGCAAAAATACCTTCGTTTGAGTAAAAATATCAATAAAAAAGTAGTAATTTTTGTCTAGATTTCTCATTCAAATGAGAATTTGCGAGTTTTAAAGGGATTTTCATTCTAAAACTTGCATTAAAAGCCAAGAAACTTTTCTCACACTTCTTTCTCTATTCTCTCACTTCCATTTCTCAGAGAAAACTCTCTTGAACCCTGAATTTCTTTCGAATATGAGTTCTAATGTCCTTTCCTCTTAATCCCAAGTTCTTTGGAGTTTAATCTTTCAATCTCACTTCTATTTCTTTGTTTTCTCCTTTCTTAAAAGTACTCTACTTTGTAATATATAGGAGAACCTTAGTTTTTGGACAACATCTCCTTTGAAACGTTGCACTTCCATATGAATCTTAAGGAGATCTTGGTCTTAGAGACACTAACTCTCATCCCTTTGGTTGTGAGAGACTTATTTCTAGGTAAGGGTAGTTGATCGCAAACCCTAAATTTTATTTATATATCTTGACTTAAAAAACTCAAACTACCTCATTTTAAATAGCAAAGTTGTAAAGTTTTCTTAAAATCATATGATTAAAAATGAACTTTTGAGTATAGAAAACCTATAGTATGGTATAAGGATGAGTTTTTAAGAATATTTTCATAAAAGTGTTTTTCATTATATATATATATATATATATGTGTGTGTGTGTGTGTGTGTGTGTGTGTTAGAAAATGGGAAGTAGATGATACTAAACCTTAGGATAGATGATTTTTATAAATATCAAGAGAGTGTGATCTCTAGCAATGTATTTTAAAACAATATGATTAGATTGAGTTTGAAGGTATCCAACTTTCGACATATTGTATTAATTTGTATGAAGTGAAATTGATTGCATGTATGTGATTATGTACTTTCCTTTATTTTGGAAATATGAGTTGAGATTATGGTTGTTTGTTTAAAGTAATGAATGAAGTAAAATATGTTTTATTGAAAATATGCAATTGGAGCTGAGTCTAGGGGTGTTCGACCTCTAGCAAATTGATTGATGATTTAACTATATTTGAATGACCTAATATGGTGAAATTGTATTCTGATGAGAAAGAAAAAGAGTAAAAATTATACTATCATGAGAAAAGTGTGAAAATAAATGGAGGTGAATATTGAGAATTACTAAGAAAATGTGTTATGAAAAACTGACTAAAATGTGTATAGATAGGTACATAAATATATTAGGAGTATAGAATATGGAGCCGATTGTGGAAGTCTAGGAAAAATGTAGGGTAGTAAATGAAATTCGCTTGTGTGTA